TGATTCTGAAAAATTCACAAAAAATGAAGCACCCTATGTACGGTCACACTATAAAACTACAATTTCGACAATAGATCGAAAAAAAATTGACTAATTTAGAAATTCAAAGAAATAACATGCGACATTTTCATTCAGTATGCTAAAACTTATTAGATCTGAAAAATAGAGCATGAATTGTCTTTTATTCAAGTGAAAAAAAAATCTTTGGATTCTTTACGGTATCATTGTCTTTATTATTTTAATGAAAAACATTAATACAACGAAATTGACGATTAAAGTTTATTGTATTTGTTCCATTGTTGATGATACTCGTTCTGGATTCATGTGATGAATAAATTTGCGAAATTAACTGAAAATAAAAAAACACACATATTAAACAACATAATCACAATAAAATTTGTTTTTGTGAGCTACTAACTAACAGTTATCAATAAATAATCAAATCACACTATACTGCAGTTTTTTAAAACTTGAATCAATAAAAAAGCTATTTTCAGCGGATCAAATGTATTATATGCACCACTTTGTCAATTATTTTTTGGTTTAGAGCAATTTTCTTTTGCTTAAAACACTTCACTTTTATATTTATTTGAACACTTGATAATTACCTGTTGTAACGTGGTGTTAGGCAATTAACTTCAGAGCATCACGATGAATAATCTGAAAAGAAAGAACAAAATCATAAATAAATTAATTCACAAGAACACTTATTTCCCATTTTACATACCATTTAGACTTCGTCAAGGCCTTTCTTTACAGCCTTAGCGCAGCAACGTTTGGCTGAAATGATGGCCCATATAATTGCGGCTAAGACGACGATGGCCGAAACAATTAAGACGTTGATCAAAATTATGATTTTTAAGGAGGCCATGTCTGAGTTGATTTGTGCGTTCGCTTTATTTAAGCCGTTGGTGACACTAACGGTCAAGCTGTTAGCAACTGTATTGAGTTTGTCTTCAACTTTGCCATCATTCCCAATGAAATCACTAACTTCATATCCGGTCATGACAGCCGCCACGTATTTTGCCACTTTCCAGACCCACTTCCAACCCATTTTGCTTTTTTCAGTTGAGTTGATTTGAGGAAAAAAAAATCGAAGAGTTTGAATAAAGGTATTTAAGTTTTTCCGTCGATTCGTAAGACTGAATTGAAGGATAAACTAATTATCACACCTCTATTTATAATGCAAAAAAACTTACATAGCAATTATTCTTAGTGAATAATAATTTTAAGACAAATGTCTTACATCGGCAAAACGCGCTTTTCTTTTCTTTCTTTGAAAATATCTGTGTTTATCGAAAAATAAATCGAACGAAACATACCAAAATGTTTGCTTCAGAAATTGTGAGCTCAGCAATTTTCGAATCGAATCAAATCGAATGTCGCATTCATATCAACTTTAAAAGTGATTATATTTATGCATTGAGTTATTCAATTTGAATATAAACATTTAAGCTAAAGTGCTGTTGCTCTGTTGTCTCTG